GGACTTAACAGACATATTCAGAACATTTCATCATAGAGCAGCAGGATAACATTTTTATCGAGTACACATAGAACATTCTCCAGAATAGTTCACATACTGAATCAGGCCTCAACAAGCACAAAAAGAATGAGATCATACCATGCATATTTATTTTGTGATCATAATGCTATAAAACTTAAAGGCAACCACTAGAAAAAATTTGGAAAGACCACAAATATATGGAGGTTAAAGAATATCCTACTAATGAATGAATGGGTTAACCAGGAAATTAAAGAAAACCTATATCAAGAAGCCAGAAAATCCTCAATTATACAACCTAACATTAAATCTAAAGGAGCTAGAAAAGGAAAAGAAAATAAAGCTTATAGCCAGCAAAAGAAGGGACATAATAAAGATTAGAGCATAAATAAATGATATAGAAACAACAAAAAAATCAGTGGAACAGATCAATAAAACCAGGAGCTTGTTCTTTGAAAAAATTAATGAAATTGATAAACCCCTAGCCAGACTTATAAATAAAAAAAAAAGACCCAAATAAATAAAATCATAAATGAAAGAGGAGCTATCACAGCCAACACCACAGAAATACAAACAACTGTAAAAGAATATTAAAAAAAAATACACATGCCAACAAATTGGGCAATCTGGAAGAAATGGATGAATTCCTAGACACATTTAACCACAAAATCTGAAACAGAAAGAAACAGAAAATTTGAATGGACTGATAACCAGAAAAGGAATTGAATCAGTAATCAAAAATCTCCCCAAAAACAAACTTCCAGGGCCATGTAGCTTTCTGGTGGAATTCTAGCAGACATTTAAAAAAGGGTTAATGTCTATTCTTCTCAAATTATCCCAAAAAATAGAAACAGAAGGAAACTTTCTAAGGTCAGTCTACAAGGCCAGCATTACCTTGATTCTGAAACCAGACAAACACCACTAAAAAGGAAAATTACAGGTCAATATCCCTGAGGAATATGGATGAAAAATTCTCAACAAGATACCAGCAATTCAAATCCAACAGTACATTAAGGAATTATTCACCATGATCAAATGGGATTTATTCCTGGGCTGCAGGGATGGTTCCATATTTGCAAATCAATGAACGTTATAAACCACAATAATAAAAGAAAGGATACAAACTATACGATCCTCTCAAGAGATGCAGATAAAGTATTTGACAAAGTACAGGATCTATTCCTCATAAAATTAAAAAAAAAAAACCTCAACAAAGTACGAAGAGAGGTAATATACCTCAACATCATAAAGGCCATATACAAAAGACTCACATCTAATATCAATTAGGAGACTTTCCTATAAGGTCTGGAACAAGACAGGGATGTCCACTCTCATTCACTGTTATCTGACAGAGTACTGGAAGTCCTAGCCTCAACAATCAGAAAACAAAATGAAATAAAACCATCCACATCAGCAAGGAAGACGTCAAAATTTTACTATTTGCAGACCACATGACACTCATGTAGAAAACCTGAAAGACTCCACCAAACAATTTCTGGAACTGATACACAAATTCGGGAAAGTCGAAGGATATCAAATCAACATAGAGAAATCTGTTGTATTTCTACACACCAATAATGAAGAGGCAGAAAGAGAAAAGAACCATTCCCATTTATAATTGCACCAAAAATCATAATATATGTATGAATAAACCTAACCAAAGAAGTAAAGAAAAAAATCTGTACTCTGAAAACTATAGAACACTTATGAAAGAACTTGAAGATGATAAAAAGAAATATAAAGCTATACATAAAGCTATTATAAAGCTATTGTCATCAAGAGAGTATGATACTGACAAAAAACAGACACATAGATCAGTGGAACAGAAAAGAAAAGCCAGAAATGGATCTACAACTATATGGTCAACCAATCTTTAACAAAGCGGGAAAGAATATCCAATGGAAAAAAAAGATGGTCTCTTTAACAAATGGTGCTGGGAAAACTGGACAGCAACATGCAGAATACTGAAACTACACTACTTTCATATACCATAAAAAAATAAATTCAAAATGGATGAAAGACCTAAATGTGAGACAGGAATCCATCAAAATCCTAGAAAAGAATACAGGCAGCAACCTTTTTGACCTCACTCGAAGCAAATTCTTGCTAGATGTGTCTCCAGATGTGAAGGATACAAAAGCAAAAATAAACTGTTGAGGCTTCATCAAGATAAAAAGCTTCTATACAGTAAAGGAAACAATCAACAAAAATAAAAGGCTGCTGACAGAATGGGAGAGGATAGTTGCAAATGATATATATGACAAAAGGTTAGTATCCAAAATCTATAAAGTACTTAACAAACTCAACACCCAAAAAACAAGTAATCCTGTGAATACATGGGCAGAAGACATGAATAGACACTTTTCCAAAGAAGACATCCAGATAGTTAACAGACACATGAAAAGATGTTCCATATTTCTCATCACCAGGGAAATACAAATCAAAACCATGATGAGATACCACCTCACATCTATCAGAATAGCTAAAAAAGAAATAACAGGTATTGGCAAGATGCAGAGAAAGGGGAACCCACTTGCACTACTGGTGGGAATACAAACTTGGTTGTACCCACTCTGGAAAACAGTATGGAGGTTCCTCAAAAATTTTAAATGAGAATTACCCTACAATCCAGCAATTGCAATATGAGGTATTTACCCAAAAGATTAAAAAAATGTAGATTTGAAGGGGCATATGCACTCCCAATGTTTATATCAGCACTATCAACAATAGGCAAATTATGTAAAGAGCCCAAATATCCATCATCTGATGAATGGATAAAAATGGATAAAAAAGAGGTGGTATATACAATGGAAGATTACTCAGCCATCAAAAGAATGAAATATTACCATTACATGGATAGAGCTAGAGTACATTATGCTAAACAAAATCAGAGAAAGATAAATACCATATGATTTCACTCATATATGGAATTTAAGAAACAAACTAGATGAACATATGGGAAGGGGGAAAAAGAGAAAGTGAAAATGAACCAGGAGAAACTCTGCGAGAATAAACTGAGCGTTGATGGAGGGAGGTGGGTGGCAATGGGCTAGATTAGGGATGGGTATTGATGAGGGCACTTGTGATGAGCACTAGGTATTGTATGTAAGTAATGAACAACTAAACTCTGTTCCTGAAACCAACATTGCACTGTATGTTAATCTACTAGAATTTAAATAAAAATTTGAGGAAAAAAGAAACCATCCACCTAAACTTAAGAGCAATATGATAGCAATGAAAGCTAGAATGCAATGGGTTACTTTTTCATCCTATTATGATCCTATGATTACAGGTTTTGTATAAAGGAAAAGAGGAAGCTATCTAAAGTTTAACAAATGTGAAGTTTAACTCATTTCAGATGCAAGTGTCATGCTTTGACTATGACAATTTATTCCACATGGAGTGGATATATTAGTATACATATATTTTTATTTTGAATGTATACTTTATGCCTATTGTTTCACATGCCTATAATTTCAAAGATCCACCATTTATTCATTTCCTAAGCATTTATATGCAAGATCTAAGTTAAAGCATCATGTTCTTTAAAATTGCCAAACTCCTTAAGCAATAAGTAATTATGTTTTGACGTAACAACTACTGCCTTGTGGGAAAAGGCTCTACAGGAAATCTCACTACTATGAATTTTTCTAGTTGCTATCCTGATTACAGTTATTTAGTATCCTGGGAAGCTGTGAGAGTTGACAATGCAAGTCAATAAGAATTTAAAACTAAGGGTTCTACAACTAATTTTACAGATGAGGGGATTGATAGCCAGAGAGTTCAATGATTTTCCAAATGCCACTCAACTTAGTAGTAAATCATGTACTACTATATATCCTGATTTCTAGTACTGTTACTGTTTTATTATTTCTTTGTTTCTCTCAATTGAATAAAGAGATACATCTTGGTATTGGAAATGCAAGGTTCATGAAGTGCTTTCTTCTGAAGAGATCAGAATTTGCACAATTCTGTTGCAAAACACTAAGGGCACAAAAATTGAGAAACTCTGTATTAATGCTGATGGAAATCTTTCTGAAAGAGACTTTCAGGAATAGCACAATTAGTATAGTCTATACTGCAATCTTATGTTAACTAGCAAGTAACCTCTACACATGCTGAAAGTTCTTTGCTGATAAATGCATCCTTTTATAACCATATATAATCCCATATGTTTCATAAAGACTGTTTACAGATTAAACAATTTTATTGCATTAGTATACATTTACATTACATTAGTATACATTAGCTATACATTTACATTATATTAATAGCTACACATTTGCCTAGTTTTTGGTCATTGTTATTATTTCTGTTAAATATTTTGAGATTATCAAAAACACTGTATAAAGTGAAATATACAATTAATGAGTTAGTCAGTGGTATTTTACTTATAGGAATATAGAGTAAATCATGTCTAATACGGTAACAAAAGTGTTTACAGAAAAAATAACTATAACTTCCTAACTTGTACAAAGATTACTGTTAGGAAAAAAATCTTGTCAGAATTCATAAAGTCCCTCATACTGCAACTGCTATACATATATAAAAAAAACTTTGCTATCTTCCAAAAATGTCTTCTATGTATATTAACTCACTGACATTAATTGAACATAAGAGAGAAATCTTCACCTAATGTTCTTAGCAAACAAGTCAAACCAAAATTTTGGATTTTCCTTTTCCATGGAATAAAAATCTTATAAAAAATGGTATTCAACATATAGCATTTAAGTATAAAGAAAAAAAAGTACTATCTAATTTGGGAACAGACTTATGTTTCCATAATTATAAAAACCTACCAATAAATATTTTGTGAAACAAAGTATATTTTTAAATATATTTAAATGAAGCTTATTATGATTTGCACCATAAAGACCCTTTGACAACTGAATAAGTACCTACTATTTTTTCTGTTTCATACTTCCATATACTGTTGGACAAGTTCTCACCTTTTGTGACAGGCAGAAATAAATACTACTTACCTTATTATTCATAAATGCTTTGAGGCACTGAATAAGTTTATACTGATTCTTCTTGTCTATATTTTCTTGCCTTAATAAAGGGAAAATAAACAGGTTATGTTATGCTCAAAATTCTCTGCTTCAGTGATTTTTTTTCATGTTTATTCTTACTGTTTCTTGTCCAGAAGCTTTTCCAGCACATCCAATAAGAGTCCGAGACCTTCATGGCCAAAGTTGTTAACCCAGCTATGAAATTAAAAAAATATATATATGTATAAATAATTTATATAATTAAAACATTAAACATCCAAAATGAAATTTTGATTTTCAAATCTGATAATCCTGTCTTTATATCACTTGTCATTTTTTTCTACTTCCAATACTAGAAGTATTGACTCTATGAAGATGATTCAGAGATCTTTACTTCAATCCCAAACTTCTCTTTACATTTTAGATTGCCTATTCCACAGTACTGCCTCAGTTGTTTCACCAGAAATCAGATACTTAAGCTAGCATATATAAGACAAATTGACCTTCCCCTGTGTCTCTGTTACTTTATATCAACTCTTCTTCCACTCTTCCATACTATTAATAGCACCACTATTCTTTGAATCCTTGAGACTTGAAATACTGGCATATTGCTTGATCCCCGTCTCTTTCACCTTTGTATTATTCTTTTCATTCACTCAACAAACATTTATTGAGTAGCTACTAAGAACCAACCATGATCTGAGTGATAGAGATATAACAGGCAACAAAACTAAGCCTTTACTTTACCCTCATGTAGCTTACTATCCAAAAAGGGGGAGACATGATAAACAGATAAACAAGTACATGATAAATTTTAGTGGTTTGGAGTTATGGAGAAAAATCAACTTTGGTAAATGGAATAATGAATACCAGGATGTTATTTTTTAAAATGTATAGTCGGGAAAGACTGATTAGAGGGCGTGTGAGCAGAGTCTTCAAGGAAGTGAGGACTTTCACAGTAGAAGGATGAAGGTCAAATCAAGTCTTGAGGAGGTATGTAGTATGCTTGGAGTATTCCAGAAACTGTGAGGAGACCTGTGTGGCTGTAGCTGAATAAGAAAGTTTGGAAGAATGGCAGGAAATAAAGTCCCATGTATGGTAAAAGGCTGGAAGACTGATCATGTTTTGACTTTCTGTCATCCAGTGAGGAATATGCTACTTGTAGAATGACTCCCACATATTTTCCCTCCCCTCCTTTTTATTGTGTCTGGTAACATTCTAGTTTTGCCCTAGTTACCTTTCCTTTAATGTGACAGCAGTCTCCCAACTAGGGTCTCTGTAGCTTCATTCTTTTATTCATTTAACAAAATGTGGGATTGGATTACACTTAATGAGCAGTAATATGTCCAAAAATTTCCTCTGGACTACCTAACACATTTCAAGTCCCTTGACCCACTATTCTGATCTAGCCTCAAATATTCAGAACCAATCACATCCACGATATATACAGAAGTTCATTTTAAATAAATTCTGCTTTAATTTCCACAGTGAAAATGAGAAAAAATCAATATGGCATTGTAACGATAATTAGCAGTAAGCTACTATTCAATTGAGGCATGTAATCAACCAGTACAATGAGCCATTTTCTCTAAAGACTCTCTCTAATCAGTGGAGTGGTGGTGGAAAAAATAAAATGACATCAGCTCTAAGCATAATATATCAGCAGATATTACAGCACAATATGCCCTTACAGCAAACTTAAAATAATAGGAATTCTGAACAAATTCATGTACACAGCCCTTGGTATCTCTTTTGGCATTTAGGAAGATAAAATATCTCTGACTTCCTTAAATTTAATACTTATAAATTGTTTTTCAAGATTCTAAATTTTACTCGTATTCTTTTCACACCCGGTGATGTTATAATTATTAGAGTTATTTTTTTCTTGGTTTAGTCAAGTGTTTGGTATAAGAATATGATTTATAACTGTTCACTTAAAATTAGTCACCCACACACCCCAGACATCTTCAAATTGTGTGGTTTATGGTACTTTGGTTTCACTCAGTGGAAATTACTATGGGTCTGAAAAAAAAATAGGATATTCATGAAACCTAAGTGTGAGAATGCAGGGCATATTTATTAAAAACCAGGCAGTGGAAAGTCAACAGAATATTTTAGGCCAATGGGCAGCGGGTTTTAGATAGATAGATAGATAGATAGATAGATAGATAGATAGATAGATTATAGATTATAGCCAATACAAAAATGGCGATGAAATGTCGAAGCAGTTTAAAAACAAAATGTTGGCTACTCTACATAGGCAAGAATCCTGATACTGAAGTAATTATAAATCAGTGGGTCTCAAGGTATGTGCCCCAAACCAGCAGCAGCAGCAACAGCAACATCAGCTGGGAACTTGTCAGAAATACAAATCCTTGGGCCCCACTCCAAATCCACCAAATCAGTAACTCGGGGAATGGGACCCAACAATCTGTGTTTTAACTAAACCGCTAGGTGATTCTGATGCTCAGTCAAGTTTAAGAACCACTGACATAGAACACTGCCTTTCTCAGGCAGGACTCAGGCTCAAAAATCAAGATTGCTTTGTATACACTCCCAACCATACTATGAATTCCTACTGCCACAGGACAGAGATCAGGAATTCAGTCCAAGCAAGTATATTTGGTATATTTTACAGAGTATGCAAATTTCAGCTCTGAGGTATTCCATACTAATTGGAAAATCTAGAGGTATAAATATACAGTTGATGACTCAATTTAAAATCTGCCTCAGAGACTGCAAATAAAGACAGATAAATACATAAATTTTCTGTAGTATCTCAGTCCTGAAATAAGAAATTGTAATTTATCACAGACCCTTTATTTATAAAAGACATAAAAGCAGTAGAGGATAATGAAGAACCAAACAGAATAAAAAACAGTGAAGGAGAATGATCTCTTATAATTCCCATTACCACTCTGAAACATAAGGTTTTATTTTCCTTTCTTTTTACTGAAGTAAGATTTACATACAATAAAATTAATCATTTTGACAAATGCATAATCATGCAACCTCCAATACAAAAAAATATATATAACATTTTCATCACTCCAAAATACTCCATTATTCCTTTTTACAGTCAATCCTTTTTCCAAACTCCCAGCCCCCTGACAAAACTTATCTGATATGTGACCCTAGTATTGCTCTTTCTAGAATGTTACTAGAAATGGAATTATAAAGTATGCATGTTTTCTGTCTGGCTTCTTTCATTTAGCATAAATATTTTAATATTCAACCATTTTGTTGCATTTATCAGTAGTCCATTCCTTCTTATTGAATAGATATACCACAGTTGTTATTTTAATCTATTCATCAGTTGATGAGTATCTTGGTTATTTCCAGATTTTCATGATTATGAATAAAATGGCTATAAACATCCATCATTTTTCTTGGGAAAGTTACTAGGGGTGGAATTGCTGGGTTTCATGATAAGTATGTTTCACTTTTTGAGAAACTGCTTTCCAAAGTGGCCATCCTATTTGGCATTCCTTCAGCAAAGTGTAACAGCTCCATTTGCTCAGGATCCTTCCCAGTTTTTCACACTGTCAAATCTTTTTAAACTTTGGCCATGCTGAAACTTGTTTTCAGATAAAGAAACTGAGAAGGAAAGTAGTTAAGTAACTATCCAAACATCACTCAATAAGTATCAATTCTAGGGCCCACACCCAGGTCTAAATCCAAAGCCCATGTTTGTTTCAATCGTGCCATTAGAAATTACTAACAGGGCCAGAAGATGATTTTCTAGAACATCTGTGTTGAGCTTATATCTATATCTATATATAGATATAGATATCTAGATAGATAGATCTTTTATCTATATTACATCTATGGCTAGACACACAAACATGTGCTTTGCTTTCTTTAATGGCTTACTATATTCATTTAGGTGTGATAAGTACTTTTCCAACCATGCTTTTATTGTCTTTTAAAGTCCTTAGCTTTATAAGAAATCTAGTAAATACTGTTAAGGAAAGATATCTGGAGAATCCAACTAAAACTTCCAATTAAGATTTAGGTAAGGCACTCATTGAAAATAGGGCCAGAGTGTAGCTTATACTTTCCCCCCCTTTGGATGAGCTATATAGCTTACAGTCTTTTTAGTTATTAACATGTTGGTGATTTTATGTTATTAAGTCACCTAAGTCAAAGAGTTGTCTTGACATATTACACATCTAAGATGAGGTTTGTGGCCACTACTTGTGAGGGTGCCAGGTGGAACAAATAAACCACCAAACAAAAAGAAAAGGAAGATCAGTCAGAAAGATTCATTTATAAGTGAGCAAGAGGACAGGATTAGATCTGAAGACAGAAAATGAAGCCAGGAAAATTACCTAGGGAGAAAGAGAATAAACCCACAATAGGGTAGTATCTTCTGAACTTAAGTATAAAAGGCTTGGCTATATACATCAGTTAGTCCAGCATCTGGTTCTTTACTCAAGAAGTCAAAACTTAAAAAACTTTTCCCAAGTTTACTCAAAGATCAGGAAAATATCCCACCATCCACCAATGGAATATGCTGAGACCACATGGTGGCATGTTTAAACGAGTAAGATTTTAAGAAGACAGATGTATGTTCCAATCCCATCCCTACCATATTCTAGTTGTGTTATTTATGATCAATTAAACTCTCTGACCTTGTTTTCTCATCCTCAAAATAGGGATGAAAATAGTACCTATACCACATACAGTCTTTGTGACTATTAAATGAAATAATATATGTGAAGAAGCATAGTGAAACCTGTATTAAACATTTGAAAACGTTAAAATCCAAAAATCTGATTACTCTTTAAATGTTCTAGTAAAAAATACAGTATGAATTTTAGGCATAAAGACTCCTTTTAAATAATATAAACAGTTAATAGCATTTCATAATTCATTTATTAAAAAGCAGTTTAATTAGTATGAAATATGCAGAGTAATCTAAACATACAGTAGACTTTTACTACTGATTGATTTTTTAAAAGGATTTCATAATTTAAAATTCGATATTCCTATTATCACATGTTTAACTTGTTACTATTCAACTTTGCATATATTTATTTCTCATTATATTTAATGCTGGATAATTCTAACTGAAATAACATGGAATTATAAAGGGGAAAGGGACTGTAGAGAGAGTGAGTCTGTTTATACATCATGAATAATTTTGACAAAGAATATCAAAATATATTAAGATTTTCTTTTAATTTTTTTATGTTTTATTTATTTTTGAGAGA